TATCACCAAAATACCCAATATTGGAAGATACCATTATATGGGGGTTATACGAAGACGTGGACCTGCACAGACAATTTTCCGTCTTAGGCAGTAGTATCCATTACAAACTTCAAATACCAAATTTGAAACAATTCCGGTGAATAATGTCGCTTTATTCTCCAAAATACCGAAAATAGGAAGGTATCATTATATGGGGGCTATACCAAAACGTTGACCTACATGACCTAATTTCAAAACCAAAAGTGCTGCATTTGAGGAAAATTTTATCAACCTACTTTATTTCGTTCGGAAGCTAGAATGATTTTCACAGACGGAAGGACATCGCTAAATCGACATAGAATTTTATGATGTGGGGTCTAAAATGTATATTTCGAGGTATTACAAACGGAATGACAAATATACCCTCCATACTATGGTGGATGGTATAAAAAAAGACAAGTGCATGGGCGTTGGACTATTGTGTTTGGAGTATTTTGGAAAGCAAGGTTGGCATTGAAAAATACCAAAGTATCGATCACCTCAAGCAAGCGCTTCGCCAGGAATGGGCCAAAATATCGCAGAGCAACATTCGGGCAACGTGTGACGGTGTGTTTATTCTGAAATTTGATGCTATTTCCGACATTGTTGGCTTTCATTCAATAAAATTTAAAAAAAAAAAAAATATCTAAAAATTATGGCATTTGACTCTGTTGCAGTTTTTTTTTAACTCACCCTGTATACACGTAAAATGCACAGATTCCTTCCTTTTAGCTCTTCTTTCATAATCTGCTGGATCTTCCCCGTAATTATTTTTTTTGTGTTGCATAGTGCAATTTTATAATCTGCTTTCACGAATAATACCAGGATTTTTTTTATTCTATTATTCATAACAACATGCAAATGTCAAAATTCTGACTATTGTCCCTTTAAATTGTCGTTTTCAGTCATCTTTCAACAGTCTTATGTGTTAAAAAAAAGATAATTTTAGGGTCCTTCAACAGTAACCTAAAAAGTATGGTCCAAAGGCCTCCTCTCAATCGTTTTACTACACAAAACATTTCCACAGGTTTCCGTCGTTTATCGTAAAATGTTATTGACCTACCCCTCCATGGAAATTATGGTAACACCTACTCACCCAAAATTGGGCTTATCAAACGACCAACAAAAAAGAGTTAATATCAACTATATGGCCTTTTGTTATAATTGACACCTATTTATACAGAATTTAACAATGTTTTGTTCACACCAGCCACCACAACACACACTCACGCATACCATTTATTACAGTAATAACAATAAAGTAAATTATTATTGTTGTGGCTGCTTCCATTAAAAATTCTGATAGAATTCTGTATAATTAATAATGATTTTCCAATTCTGATAATTTGTGCCCCCCAATAAAAGCCAAAACAATATCATAAAATACTTAAAAGTGTGCAATTGCCCTAGGTCGTCTAGTTCCTGGTATAGTTCCAATGGGGCGTGCCTCTTTTTATTGTGAATAATTGATGATGTGATTTGTTTTTTGAGAATCTCTCCAAAATTAACCATAAACTGCTAATAAATACTAACGAAATAAAACCAAAACAAATTGGGCCTGGATGAGAGGGCGCAATAAAAATTAATCATATGTTGTTCACGCCAGACAAGATTATAAAATTTTATTAAAAAACGATTAGCTTTATAATTTTTTTGGAATATTAAAATTATAAGGAAAAAACGCCAAACCATAAAATTTTAAAAAGGAATTTTTCGGAAAATATTTCCCTTGTTTATGTGAGACACGCAACAGCAGCATCACTGTAGATTTAACTGAACATACTCTACATAAACACTGTTTATTGTTATTCTTCTCCCCTTGTTACTCTCTTTATTTTGCATATAAACCGGTATTAGTGAGCAATACCGTTGTCACAAACATAAATATGTATGATTATAACAAGAATAACACCAACCCCAAAACAGAGAGAAAGAGAGACGTGAACTTTAAGAGAAATATAATTTGAGATTAACAAGTTAAAAGCAGGGGTGCTCAAAACCGTGTTCTAGAACATGAAGAGAAAAAAGAGATAATTTAAGAGAAAATTAAAATTTTGTTTTTCTTTATATTTTACTGTTCTATTTAATTGTTTTTAAATACGAATGTTTGCCAAAATAGTTTATAAAGCAAATGGATAAAAAATATTTGTATAAATAATGACTTAACATTGTTTTGTTCTTGATTTAAATAAGCAAAGAGAAATTTGACTGAAAACAGATATTTCTTCTTGAGCACCCCTGTTAAAAGGTATCATACGTTTTTGGCGACAGATGTATTCCCTCAGCAAATATTTGATTATTTAAATATATTTCGACTTATGCTATGATTATTGAAATGATTGACCCACTATGGAGTAGGTTCCGAAAGAATGTGTCCATATTGTCCATTTTGTACTGGACCTAAATAAATATGATATAAATATTGCAACGTACCAGGTTTGGACTGCTTCCTATACTTTATGTAATAATTTTTAGAAAATTTTAAAATGTGCGTGAGGGGTACCAGGTGTATTCCATTTTCATACTTAATCTAACACAAATAAAAATATTGGTATGGGCAAAATGACAAGAAAATCGAACATTTATATCCAATTTTATTCGAAATCATAAATTCCGATTAAATCCATATTCATCTCAGGTTTCTGGTTGAGAGAAATATTTAGATATAGCAATTGAATCGCTGACTTGTTTCGCAAGCTATGACAGATAAAAGTTTTGAAAATTGTGGTCCTTTGTGGAAGAGGTTCCAGAAGGGGTTGGCAGATATATATCAAAATTACAACAGATCTTGTGTTAGCAAAAATGTTTGTACGGGTGAAATTTGAAGGGAGTTGGATGGTTATATCGCTTTCTTTGAGCGTTTTTTTCAAAATCTTGTACCCTATGTGGGGTAGGTACAAGAAGAAATGGTCCAATCTGTACCTCCTTGATAATAGGTTTTGTGTTGATAGAAATATTGAGATGTGCCAAGTCTGAATGGAATCGGATGTTAACTTCGCGTTTTATGAGCTTCATGAATAATCAAAATTTTGACCCTTTGTGGGGGTGGTACCAGAAGGAGTAGACCGATGCATTTCATCTTCACAGCATATTTGGTGTTAGTAAAAATAATGCGATGTGTGAAATTCGAAGGGAATCGCAGGACTATTTCGTAATTTTTGAGAGTTTTGATTATTTAAATCTTTGACCTTTTGTAAGGGAGGCACTAGAAGGAATGGTCCGATCTCTATCGTTTTTATAACAGATCTTGTGTTGATGAAAATATTGAGATGTATCAAGTTTGAATGGAATCGGATGTTAATTTCGCGGAGGTACCAGAAGAAGTGGACCGATATGTTCCATCGTCATAGGAGATCTTGTGTTTTTAAAAATAAAGAGATGTGTGTAATTTGAAGACAATCGGACTCTTATATCACATTTAATAAGATTTAAAATTATTCCAAATTTTCACCCTTTGTGGGGGAGGTACTTGATGGAGTGGACCGATATTGTCCATTTTCACACCTGACCTAGCACTGACGCAAATATAAGGATTTGCAAAGTTGCAGCAAAATCGGATTATCGTTTCTCTTTCTGTGCAGAAAAAAAATATATTTTTTGGAAATTTCGACCTTTTGTGGTGGAGGTACCAGAAGGAGTTGACTGATATTGCCCATCTCCAAACTCGATCTAAGTTCGACAAATATATTACGATGTACCAAGTTTGGATCAAATCGGATACCCCTTTGATAGTTATCGTCCGCACCAGCCAAACAGCCAGAGAGACGGACGGACGAAAATCGCTAGATCAAATCCAAATGCCCTGAAAAGGATTTGATCCAAAGAGACCTAGAGTCTAAAATCGTTATTTCGATGATTCACGTTTAGGCCGTATTAAATGATATATATCCTCTCTAGTCATATGGCTGAGGGTATAAAAAAACATAGAATAAGTTTGACTTTTAGTAAGTCAATTTTGAATGCAATTTTCATACAAAACTATTGTACCTAGGTATACGGTTTCTTTTGAGATTTTCAGTGAAATGTTGTGCAGAATATTTCTTCTTTTGACACCACCCGCCTAAAATAGCATATATGTGCAAAACGAGGACATATATTGCTAATATCTACTGGGAATGTTTCTTCATATTGAAAAATTAAAAATACCAACAATTGGCAAAAACTAAAAATAAATAATATTGTTTATGTAGTATATATTAGATTAACACATTTCATTTGTTCAGAGACTGATAATGAAATTGGGTCTAGAATATTTCTTCCTTTGACACTTTATTCAAAAAATGGTGTATTAAGGGAGATTCTAAGTCACAATAGAAAGATATGAAATTAAGAGACAAAAACGTAGAAACGTAGTCTCTACTTTTAATATATTAATTTCGAATGTAATTTTCATACAAAACTATTGTACCTAGATACATGGTTTATTTGGAGATTTATGATGAAATGTTGTGTACACCCAGAGAAAAAATGACAACATCCGTGTATGAAATGACCACATCCGTGTATGATAGTGTATCAACCACGTTTGGTGTCAAAATGAGCACGCTGTTGTCATTTTGACACCGAGATTTTGGCAACGATTTCAACAACAGATGTGCATGAAATGAGCACATACGTGGTCATTTCGAGCACGCCCCGTTGTCAGATTGTCAACGCTTCGTTGTCAGATCGTCAACGCTTCGTTGTCAGATTGTCAACGCTCCGTTGTCGGATTGTCAACGCCCGTTGTCAGATTGAAATCAATGGTGGTCATTTTTTGATATCCGTTCCTTTTCCATTTTATACCCTTAGTAGAAGAAACGACATTTTTTGAAAAGTATTTTATTGAACGAAACCAATTACATAAATTCAATATAAATACATATTTGATTTAACAAAACAATTCGAATTACATATATTCAATGTATAGAAACAAATTAAATTAACTTAAATCTGAAATAAACTTTTCCATTATTCATAGGATATAAGTGAAATGGGTAAGTAATAAAATCTAAAATTGGTATTAAAAAAACCTAAAACGAAACATTAGTATCCATATACAAATAAATAGCTCATGGCTACTTACCAATTCTGAAGCTCTTGCATCGGACAACTTCGTCCATTCAAGGAGAAATGTATGGCTACTTAAATTTTTTATATCTCTTTGCCGTATGTTAAAAGATCTTTTCCATTTTTCGCAGATCGATCCCCAATCATTACATTCTCTTAGTAAGGAAGCTTTCAATGAATTTTCAACTGATTCATCAATTTCGGGAACATCTTTGTTACAAAAATTAGGAGATGTGTGAGTTGCTGCTTTGCTTGTGCTAGGCTCGGAAATCAAAAGCTTTATTCTTTTGGACTTCTTGTTTCTATACTTGGCATAAAGTTTTCCGCTTGCGTTGTTCTTTCCTTTTCTTGAAATGTAATAATAATCCTAAAAATAAAGACATATTATAAGTTAAGAAACTACATAATCAGATACGTTGTTTATATTGTTAATCTTACCCTCATTTCGTTTTCAAGAGGAAAAACGGAACAAATTTCATCCAATATGCGCATATAGTCTTGAGTGTAAAGAGTAACATTGTTGGTTAAAATATCTTCAATAATTATATTAATTATATCATCTCTTTGCTCGTCACTTAATTTCTTATTAACGCTACTACATTCAAGCGCTAGTTTCCCCTTCGAGGTATGTGTTAACAATTCCGTTAGATCCTATATTAAATAAAAAAACTACATTAACTATGCTTACACAAATATTACTCTTACCTTACCTCTGACAAAATTCCTTTGGCTTTTGAGCAGTTCGAACCTGTAGTGTCGGGAGTACCAGGAGTACTTGCAGGTGTCTCGTTGCGTTTCCACCATTCACCTATTTTAGATGGAACTGACATAGTTTCGTCATCAATCCCGAGCTATTGTTATGACAATATTAATACTGAGTTCAACTCTGTAAAACAAATAATACGTACCTTTCGTTTTTTCCAAGCAAAGAGCTTTTCTCTGAATTCAACACGCAGTCCCAATGGTGGCACTGCTTCCTTTAAATCTTCTTTTTTCAAGTACTGCAAGCTGCGAAATGTTACATGTGATGCTAAAAGAACAAAAAAGAAAATTCTTTGTTAATTACACTGATTAACTGAAAAATTCATTTTTATTTACTTACCTTTTAATTGTTCAAAAAGCGACTCCATATTTATTCCTTTTAAGAACTCCCTTAACATATAATCGTCCTCATTGTTTTCCGCATCTTGACTGCTGCAATGGTTTGTATCGCGAACCACAACAATATTGCCATCGATTTCTAACAACTCACCAATGATATTTTGAGGATCTTGCGAATTATTATTCATTTTCAATAAATTTTTTGCACAATGCGTCCTTTCTCTTTCAATAACACGGAAAAAATGGTAAATATGCAGCCGATTGCACACGAGTAAAAAAAATGACAACGGTGGTGCATGATTCATACACGGTAGTTGCTAAAATGGCAACGATCGTGTACGATTCATGCACGTCGGTGTACAAAGTAACAACGGTGGTGCATCATTATGCAGGTGGTGGTGCATAATTCATACACGACCGGTGTCATATTGACAACGACCGTGTGTGAATCATGCACCACCGTTGTCATTTTTTACTCGTGTGTAATCGGCTGCAATTACCAATATTACAAATGGACAAATTAAGCACGGCTGTTGTTGGTACCGAAAGTTGACCACGTCTCGGTGTCAATTTGAGCACGTTCGTGCACAATTCACCAACAGCCGTTGTTGAAAAATATAACAACGGGTCGTTGCGAAAATGACAACATACGTGCTTGATTTCGTAACGGGATTTTTCCCTCAGTGTAGAATATTTCTTCTTTTGATAACTTGCGTCTAAAACTAGATCTGATGTTATCTTTCAGGCGTCAAGTCGAAAAAATACGGGAGAAAAATTAATCAAAAAATGTAGGGAATTTTTTCGGTTTTTTGGTAAAATTGATGCCAAATTTTTTTTTAATATATAATAAAAATGGAGATTGCATCTCTTTGGTGACCTATAGTAAAATTTGATAAGGAATATTTTTGTCTTTGACGTCATCCAATTTAAATAACGCTTTGTTGGAGATTTTGGCATAAACTAAATAAATTAATTTTGTCCATGCTGCCATCCCTTCAAAATAATGTTTTATAGGAACATTTTTCATAAAGCTATATGAAGTACGGCTTTAACCCTAACCCTATTTTTTAGTAACATTTTGTGCAGAATATTCTTCTTTTGATACCATCCACCTAAAACGAAAATTTATTTTACTTTCGGCCATCAATTGAAGAAAATGGCCGAGAAAACATTTTTTTTTTTAAATAGGGAATATTTTTGGTTTTTTCTATTCGGAACATTGGCAAAATATTGTGGCATACAATAGAAATAGAGATTTCCTTTCTTTGGTGACTTATAGTAAAATTTGATAAGGAATATTTTTGTCTTTCAAGTCATCCAACTAAAATTATGCCTTGTTGGAGATTTTTTCACAAACTCCCACAAAGTATGGCTTTAACCCTTAAATATGTTTTTAATATATATGTAATCCTGACGTTTGGCTAAGATTTACACTCTTCTCTTCTTCTAGCACCCATAGTAGAATTTGATGGCGAATAATTTTGTAGAATATTTTAATTTGCTACGATGCCGTTTAAAGGGAGTTTTTAACCGTATTTCAAATAAAGGACCAAAAAGACCCCTTTGTTGACACGCTTGAGGGTTAAAATGTTCAACAAAAATATTCTTCGTATTTTTATCTTCAATATTGCCAAAGACATTATATACCTAAAATGCATGGATTTTGAGGAATCCTAATTTGAAAATTCCCAAAAATGTGCCAGAGATGGGAATTTGCCCCTCTTCCATTTTGGTTACTTTTTGGTGTTAACTTTCCAAATGCCAATACACGTGTCTTCCTTTTTTAGCTCTACTTTCATAATCTGCTGGATTTTCCCTGTAATTATTGAAAAAATGAATTTTATCGCCCAGTGTTATAGAGATTTGTTATACCATACCTGGTCACATAATAAATTTTTAATTAAATGTCGTATATATTTAAAAATTCTCTAATTCTAATATTCGTTTATTTTCCACTCATATCACCATAATATATTTCACGAAAAAAATTGTCATTTTAATTGGTTGCCAACAAATAATATTTCTTTTTTTAACAAATTAATTTTCACTTAAGACCCACTAATCTACCCCAATAGACCTGTCTATCAGATGAGAGAGTGTGTGTGTGTGTACCTTTGCTATTGGCCAAATGTTTACGTCAATTGCCATCGTGCGATTTCACACACACACAAAACACCTTGTTGCCTTCTTATCCTCCAATCAGTGATGGGTTCAATCACCACAGAAAAAAAACAGAAACACTTCAGCGGACAACAATTGTGGTCAGATAACTGGTCATATCAGACACCACTCAGCAAGTGATTAAATGGGAGATAGAAAAAAAGGGAGAGATGATTAATTGGGATTCAAGGGAGTTCAGAAAAAATCACAGATATTTTTCTTATCAGGAATTCTAAGATTTTAATCGAGAGGAGGTCTTTTAAAAGTGGCTGTAGCGGGGATGGGAAAAAGTTATAATATCATAATTTGTAATACTTGGCTCTTCCATTGGGAAGAAGACCTTCAGCAGGTTTAAATACCCTTTATGCACCTTCTGTGGCTGGTAACATTTATGGTGGTCTTCCATTTGTAAAAAAAAAAACAAACCAAAAGTCCATTGGATAGCAAAACCGTCGTTAGGTTTTCTATGGATAGAAATCTTCTTCAGACGGAACATTTTTCTAGGTCTGCTATGGTTAGAATAGCTTTTATGTCTCTTACGGGTAGAAGATATTCTCTAGGTTTCCTATAGATGGAAGACTATATGTAGGTTATTAATAGACAATAGACCTTTTTCATACCCTCCACCATAGTAAGGAGGGTATATTAAGGTTGTCATTCCGTTTGTAATATCTCAAAATATACATTTTAAACCCCTCAAATATATATTCTTGATCAGCATAAAATTCTATGTCGATGTTCGTCCGTCTGTGGAAATCACTCTAGCTTCCGAACAAATTGAAGTAGATTGATAAAATTTTACTCAAATGTGTATTATGCCTGCAGGACTTTTGGTATTGAAAATGGGTTATGGAGGTCCACGTTTTGGTATAGCCTCCATATAACGGTACCTCCCGATATTCGGTATTTTGATAATTTTAGCGACATTATTAACCGGAATCGTTCCAAATTTGGTATCTGAAGTTCGCAATAAATACTATAGCCTATTACGAAAAAATAGTCTGTGCAGGTCCACATCTTCGTATAGCCCCCATATAATGGTACCATCCCTTTTTTCTGTATTTTGACCATTTTAGCTACATTATTCTTTGGAACTGTTTCAAATTTTGTATTTAAAATTCGTAATGGACACTACAACCAAAGACAGAAAGTTGTCTGTGCAGGTCCACGTGTTTACACCCTCCAGAATATTTTCGCGATAATATTCGGCATTTATTCTAATGCCACGATCGATTAATACGAGCAGAGAGCAACCATCGGCTGTTATGGCGGCCCACAGCATCACCATGGCCGGTTAAGTTTTGCGCTTGAGTTCTGGTGGCCAACCAAAGGTGCATCTTTCAGCTGACCTCTTTGGCAAGTAAACACGATCAGTTTGTTTGTGTACAAACTCCCGGACAACGAATGTTTTCTCATCGGAGAAAACCAAATTCGGCAGTTCATCGCTTTCGGCCAAGCGAAGCAACTCTTTAGCTCTTTTGAGTCTAATTTCTTTCTGTCGCGGTGTAAGTTCTTGCACTTTTTGGAATTTCAATGGCTTTACCCCGAGCTCACTTTTTAGTATTTACCGAATGGAATATTGCGATATGTTCAGCTCACGAGCCATTTTTCGGCCACTGCGACACGGGTTTCGATCAAGTCGCTTCTTCACTTTTCAAACCATTTCTGCTGATGTTGTTGTTTTCTTCCGTCCACTTCCTTGACGTCGGGCAACGCTACCAGTATCACGGTAACGAGCGATAGGATGCGAGACACAAAAGATTATTCATATTTAAACGCTGGAGTACTCTAACGATAGCCACTTGTGGGTTTCCAGTCAAATTTAAAGAATTCACACTATCACGCTTGAATTCTATCACGAATAATTTTTTTTTTCTGGAAAATTCTCACCAGAATGCTTTGTATGCTTGTAAACAATATAATGAGCTATCGCTGGAATAATTTTTACAGCTGTCGGACGACTGGCTAAAATATGAGAGCAGTCTGAAGTTGGTTGCAGTTTTTTCATCTAACCCTGTCTATATGCGTTTGCTTTTATTACAAACAAACAATAATTATTGATTATCATCCATCCACTCAGATATGACCGATGTGTGCTCGTGTCTGAAGTCAACATCTTGCTATGCTTGGTATGGACGTTGGCATGATTTTACCCTTCAAACTGGGCGGTGTGAAGGTCAAGTTGAACCAGAAATCAATGTTATCATTAATTATCTGTTGTGTTCTGCTCCTCTCTCTTCCACCTGGTGTTATCAAAGGCCCACTCAACATTATGACCAACCTTAAACCCTATGGAGATTTGATGGTGGGGAGGGCTTACCAAAAAAAATGCCATGGAAAATACGTCGTAATATTTTAAAACCAGAAGAAATGCCAATAATTCCAATGCGATTGTTATGTGGACTATTCGCAACAATTGAAAGGTCTTTAATTGAATTTGAAAAACAAAAGAAATGGCTCAATTGAAGTGTTTCTTCTTTGGTTTTTGAAAAAAACAACAACAACAATAATAATTAGGCATTCTTGTTGCTATCATTATTTTGTCCAATAAAAATATATTTTTTCAAGATGCAACAAATTCCGCCGCTCAACTAAAATGTATTGTTGTTGTATTTCCCGGATTTTAAATAATTTTTTATTGATAATTAAAACTGGAAGGCTTGAGGTCGGAAAATTTCAATGTTGCCGAATAGGGAAGGGAAATATAAAATTTACTAAGAGAAGTTCTCATAACCACAGAAAACCGAAAGAAGATATATTTTCCATGGGAGACGTAAATAGAAGGCCTGTTTTCCATAGCAGACTAAGGGAAGGTCTTCTTTCCATAGAGGAACTATGGAAGGTCTTCTTGAAGTAGGAGGCCTTCTTTCCATGCCATACTAAGGGAAGGTCTTCTATACATAGAGGAACTATGGAGGGTCGTCTACACATAGAAATTCTATAGAAGGCATTTTATCCATAAATGACCTGCAGAACGTATTTTATTCCTAAAAGACATTTAAAAGTTGTTCTATATCTATAATACACATATGTTGAAGGTCGTCATTCAATAGAAGGCATATGGAAGCTCTTCTATCCGTAGCAGAACTATGGAAGGTATTTAATCCATAGAAGACATATAGATGGTATTTTATCCATAAATGACCTGCAGAAGGTCTTCTATCCCTGGAAGACTTTTAAAGACGACGGACCCATCTGGCAACGCCATGACTTTTAACAGAGATGTCACATCGCTTAATGACATACCGCGTTTGAAGCGTCAGTCCACGCAGATTTTTACCATGAACCAATACACGCCCCGCGAGCGCTCTGAAATAGTAGAAATTTACATTCAACAGAAGAAGTCAATTGTGAAACTCAACGTGCTTTTAAAACATTAAAAATGTGAGAAGTGCGCCTTCTAAGAACACCATTAAGCGTTTGTACGAAAAATTTTCGACTGGTAAGGCTCTTTCTAATCCGAAGAGGCCATATAA